CATTAAAGAAGAACCCGTCCAGAAGACCCATACAATTTTTTTCTTTTTGATTTTTTACCTGGATTACTGAGATTCATCAGGACATGTAGGGATTATTTCTTGAAAGTTTCAATAAAATATGTTCTGTGGCTCATGAGATATTTTGCTAACAGACAGAATAGAGTTGACTTCAGTGGCAAAATATTCCACAAAAAATACTGAAGCTTGTTGCGGCTCAGAATATTTGTTGAGCTACTAACACACCTAGCTCAATTCCTGTAAAAATGACTTTTGAGTTTTTGTAATTTTAGGCGTATGCTAACAGGCTCACAGACACCTGCAAAAACAAAAATGCCCAGTTTAGCATTTCAGATAATGACAAAAAATATATACAGTATGATTTTTAAATCCATAAAATCAGTAGAGGGAAAACCAAATTGGTTTATATCAGGGTTTAGAACAGAGCTGTTCAACTAAATTTCTGCGGGGGGCCACAGTTACTGCAGGCCAACAGCTCAGGGGCCGAACATCCAGCAATTATGTAAGTAAATAATGAAGTAAATCATTATGTAAATAAAACATTTTTTACATTGATCTGATACCTTTGAATTTGTTTATTTTACTGCATTTACTCATGAATACAACATACAGAACCCTATGTAATAAAAGTAGCGATTGTAAAACAATATCAAAAACAAAAATAACACATAATGCCTCCCATTTAACACAAGTATTAGTTAGAAATCTCAGACTTTTTTTAAACCAGTATTATTGTTACTTATCTCAGTTTTGTCTTCAACTGCTTGTACTTTTAACTGTCTTGGGTGTTAATTGAAATGGTTTTTAACAGCTTTTAGCCAAGATTCTGACGTTTCTGTAGACACCACACATGTCTATGTCTAACTAAAAGAACTAGAAGTAATTAAAGTAGAAATTCAGGACGTTTGGATATRAGAGATTATYAAACCARTTGGTGGGTCAGACTTTGGCCACCCATGGGCCAGATGTGGCCTGCGAGCTGCCTGTTGAATAGCCCTGGTTTAGAGTGTAGTTACTCTCTTCCCTTTTCTAAATATATGTCTGTTGCAAAACTTAGTGCATCAGACGGTTTTTAATACAGCAAAACAGGCTTCTTGTCGATCGAAAACCTTCTGTTAATGTTAAAGTAAACACATTTACATCATCTTCTCTAGATTGTTTGTGTTCTTATAAAATGTCTTAATTTTCTCTATTCTTTAGCCTAAATCTACAACATACTTGTAAATGATGATTGCTAAGTGATTTTTGTGTTCTTCATCCCTGAAGTGGTCTTGTGGAAGAATGTCCAGGCTGTCTCACCGGTACCCACAGTCCCAGACCGAGTCCAGGCTCTGGTGGGCTCCTGTGTGKTGATTCCCTGCTCCTTCACGCCGTCGCCCGTGGCCCCTCGTCTTTTCGGAGGCCAGAGGCAGAGGGTAGATGTGCGGCTGAGGTTCAACGACGGTGGTCGGGTGTTTCCTCTGCCGAGCATCGCTTTCAACAGCGAAAGCAAAACCCAGGTGAGCAGGGCTTTCCGGGGCAGGACATCCCTCGCTGGACAAACTGGAAATGGAGACTGCTCCGTGAAGATAGAGGAGGTCAGACGGGATGACCCGCAGCTGCTGGAGGTGGCTCTGAAGAAAGGAGATGACTCTCTTTGGGGGAAATCAAGGAGTATTAGTGTAGATATTATTGGTGAGTGTGTCCTGATGCATCTCAGTAATCCAGGTAGAAAAAATCAAAAAGAAAAAAACAAGTAGGTCCTCTGGATGGGTTCTTCTTTAGTGAAACGTTTCGTCTCTCCTCCAAGAGACGTCTTCAGTCTGATGAGTTTTAGGTGAACTCAGCCTTATAAGCCCTGCCTCCACATGGACAAACAGGTTAGTCATATGCAAAAGAGGGCCATCACCTAACAATAGGCTACGAGCTACGTCGTCGGGTCAGGACTCTGCAGTTTAAACTCATCTACCAGCGGTCACTCTTTCAGGGAAGAAGATGTTCTCATTCTTGATAGAGAGGAACGTTGGTTTGAGAGAGGAGTAAAGGAAGCCATTTTTGTGAAGAAAAACCATCCACCATTAAACAGAGGTGGAGGCCTTCGTGTCCAGTTGTTCTCCTCCTACAATGCTAAGAATGACTCAGCCCCCGGTGAGCAAAAGGTGTGATTCAGGTCCCCAACGATACCCAACACAAAGTGGGAAAGAGGGACAAAAACAAGGGGACATTGAACCCCACTTGCACTCACTATGTACATAACATGACACGGGTCGGGTGATGGGACACATGACCCTCTATGAACAATAGAGCTAATCAACCCTATTGATAGGCAATGGCCCTCTTTTGCATATGACTAACCTGTTTGTCCATGTGGAGGCAGGGCTTATAAGGCTGAGTTCACCTGAAACTCCTCAGACTGAAGAAGTCTCTTGGAGGAGAGACGAAACGTTTCACTAAAGAAGAACCCATCCAGAGGACCTACTTTTTTTTTGATTGATGAGTGTGATTTTTGCTTCAGGTTTTATATATTATTTGAATTAAACTAAAAATATCTGACTCCAGTAGCCATTCAAGTTTATTTCTGCACATTGTTTTAGAATGACAGAATATTTAATCTGATGTGAAGAGGCGACGCACATAAATAATGGAGTATTTTCCTGCTGACAGACACTCCCGAGCCTCCTGTCATCAGCGGCGAGCTGTCAGCCACCGAAGGACAGCTGGTGACCCTGAACTGCTCTGTCACGTACCACTGCCCCTCCACCCCGCCCACCCTCCAGTGGAGCTGGGAGCGAGGCACCCAGCCCAACAGCACTGAGTTCGGGGAAATACAGACGCTTTACCCAGATCCCCACAGGTGGACGTTGCTATCCTCCCTGTCGTTCACCGTGACCCAYCAGGTGAAGCCCAGACTCAGGTGCGAGGTCAAACATCCAGGGGTCCAACCGTTAGCCACTGCCAGGGATCTGCACGTGACATGTAGGCACGGCTTCATCTACCGCCTCTTTACAATTCTTGGCTTAGTTCCACAAACTAAACATTGTCTCTTGCTTTCAGTTCCCCCCAAAGATGTGAGGGTCCAGGTTGAGACGCTAACGGTGCAGCAGGGAGGCAACGCCTTGCTGGATTGTTTGTGCAAAGCCGACCCTCCGGCATCAGAGTACCACTGGTCCTACACCCAAGGTGGCCGCACCRYCCACCTCCACCAGCGAGGGTACAGGGTGAGAGTGTTCAACGTGACCAGGGACATGAGGGTCCGCTGCTCGGCACAAAACGCCATCGGCCGGGGGGARTCCCAGCCCACATCCCTCAACGTGCAATGTAATTCTACACCTTGTTGACCTTCCTCACAAAGTATTCATCACAGTATTTTCATTGAAACCAAATATTTAAAACCAATAAGCAGAGTTGTAAAGTAACTTAGTACAAATACTTTGTTACTGTACTTAAGTAGGAAATTAGTACTTTACATGAGTACTTATGTTTCAGCCTACTTTATCTTTTACTCCTTACATTTTTACAAACTTATCTGTACTTTTCACTCCTTGCATTTTTTTAAAAAGGTAAAAAGTAGAAAGTCGTTACTTCAATTTCATTCTGGCTCGTTATTATTTAAAAAAAAATACCATCCTGATAAACTGTGTCTCCTGGGTAGAGTGAATTTGTGACCGATCACTTCTAAACGAGGATTAAGTCTAAAAGTGGTAGATGGAGAAATAGGCAAATATAGTGTTTTGATTAAAACGTTTGCAAAAATTTCATTTTGTCAAAGCATAGTAAATAAATGCCTTTTCAATGTATCCTTTGAATGAACTGTTTGAAATATAATAATAAAACAAAAATTTGAAGCACTTTTTTGAGCAGTAGTAACAAAAAATAAAACAGATTTTGAGGGAAAATGCCTTAACATTTTAAGATTCCATGCGAGCTAGCAAAGTTTTGTTTCTTTTCAGCTGGGAAATCTTAATATTCAAATATAATTTGAGGTTTCGTCTTTATAAGG